CTGACGTCAGTCGAACCCGGGTGCGCACCAAAAGTGCTAGTGTGAACGCACCCTAAAAGAAGTCTCTTATGTTCACTAAGGCTGCATTTATTAAATCAAAAATACAGTAAAATTGTAAAATATTATTACAATTCAAAATAACTTTTTTCTATGGCAAAATATATTATAAAATGTAATTTATTCCTGTGATCAAAGCTGAATTTTCAGCATCATTACTCCAGTCTTCAGTGTCACATGATCCTTCAGAAATAATACTTGTGCCGATTTGCTGCTCAAGAAACACTTATGATTATATTTTGTTTGGGGTAAGTAAGATAAAAAATAAAAAAAACAGGAAAAAAAGAATGAATACTTATTAATCAAGGACACATTGTGTGTCTAATGTTACAAAAAAATTCTGTTTCAAATAAATGCTGTTCTTTTGAACTTTCTATTCATCAAAGAATCCAGAAGAAAAGTATCACAGTTTTTTTCACAAAAATATTGAGCAGCACGACTGTTTTCAACATTGATAATAATCAGAAATGTTTCTTGAGCAGCAAATCAGCATATTAGAATGATTTCTGAAGATCGTGTGACACTGAAGACTGGAGTAATGATGCTGAAAATTCAGCTTTGATCACAGGAATAAATTACATTTGACAATATATTCAAATATAAAACCGCTATTTCACATGGAAATATTATTTCATAATATTACAGTTTTTACTGTATTTTTGATCAAATAAATGCAGCCTTGGTGAGCAGAAGAGGCTTATTTCAGAAACATTACAAAATCGTACTTATTCCGAACCATTAGCTGGTAGTGTACATCACTTTAGATAAAAGCATAAAATGCATAAATGTTGACGTGCAGCTTTGACACTTCCAGCGCAGACAGACTCCAGCATCGCTTCATCATCACCTCCTCCAGTGTGAGATTTCTAAATTCTCTCTCTTTCTGCCGGTGAACAGAATCGTGCCATTGCGACTCCCAACCAGGGTGTGTGGGATATGAGGGGAAAGCAGTTCTACAATGGCATCGAGATCAAAGTCTGGGCCATCGCTTGCTTCGCCCCGCAGAAACAGTGTCGGGAAGAGGTGCTCAAGTAAGGAAGAACACATATAGAACAGAATAAAACCGGTTTCTGTACCTTCCCTGCAGGTTTTCTCCAGACACTCACGTCTGTTTTGCATCATTTGTATTTTTCACTGATGCTCACATGCATTGCTCTGATGTTTTTACTTTGTTTACATTCAAAGCTACTGTTCTTATTCCTTGTTATTGTTTTGTAGATTTTGTTTTTGTCATTTTTAGCATTCTGGTTGGTTGTTAGGTGATAGATGAAAAAAGCCATCCTAAAAGTCCGCATTTGCATTGTCTGCCAATTTTTTCCCCATATATCGGCGCTTGTTGCACGTGTGTAAATGGCAAAAACACTTGTTTAGTGTTCGATTTTCTTTTTATTACTTTATTTTTTTATAGTATTTATTTTGCAGTATTATTGCAATCTATTTCTTATCAGTGTTATTTTAGTGTCATTGAGATACTATTATAGTTTTTATTAATTTTTTGAATAAGTTTTTATGTTTATAATTTCTGTTTTCATTTTAATTTTAGTTTTCATTTTAATTTTTTTTTACTTTCAGTTAACATTTATTTTAAAAATGCTTTTTTATGGTTTTAGTTTCAGTTTTAGTTAACTATAATAACCGTTTCTTATTTTTCTTTTTTTTATATTTTTATTTCACAATATGACAATAATCTCAATATTGTAATCAATAATCATTATGAAATCATGGCAATTATTATTTATTATGTTGTAATATTGAATTGGTCAAAAATGGTCACTGAAAGAATTTCAAGTTAGTTCTTGTAGAAAGAATGTACCCACATTTTTTTCTCAAATCTTGCAGCCCTAAAAGGATTTCACACTCAAAAACAAAACAAACTAATTAATTCAAATGCTGTTCTATTGAACTTTCTATTCAAAGTATCCTAAAACGGTATCAAAAATATTAAAAAAATATACAAAATATTAAGCATCACAACTGTTTTCAACATTGGTAATAATAAGAAATGTTTCTTGATAATAAAACAGCTATGAATACTTTGGTGTTAATGTGATGATCTCTTCCTCAGGAACTTCACCGACCAGCTGCGTAAGATCTCAAAGGACGCTGGGATGCCGATCCAGGGTCAGCCGTGTTTCTGTAAGTACGCACAGGGAGCCGACAGCGTGGAGCCCATGTTCAGACACCTGAAGAACACCTACTCCGGACTGCAGCTCATCATCGTCATCCTGCCCGGAAAAACACCCGTCTACGGTAAGAAGGTCACACACAGAGCAGAGCCGCCCTCCTGCCAAACGCCCTCAGACTAATGAACACACGTTTGATCTGTGCAGCGGAGGTGAAGCGTGTGGGAGACACTCTTCTAGGAATGGCCACTCAGTGTGTTCAGGTGAAGAACGTGGTGAAGACCTCCCCTCAGACGCTCTCCAACCTCTGCCTCAAAATCAACGTCAAACTCGGCGGCATCAACAACATCCTGGTGCCGCATCAACGGTGAGAGTGTGACTGAAGTCCCTCTGGATGTGTTTAGATTTAGCTTGAGCATTAAAGGGACAGTTCACCCTAAAATGAAAATTAGCCCATGATTTACTCTCCCTCAAGGCATCCTAGGTGTATATGACTTTCTTCTTTCAGAGGAATCCAATCGGAGTTATATTTAAAAATGTCCTGGCTCTTCCAAGCTTTATAATGCTCCGTGGGGTTAATAAAGGCCTCCTGAAGCGAATCGATGCTTTTTTGTTAGAAAAATATCAATTTTTAAAACTTTATAAACCGTAATCTCTAGCTTCCGCTAACTGTCGTACGCGCGTTCACGAGAGAGTGGTGTCCAGCGGATGACGTAGGACGTAGCGTAAGTCATATACACCTAGGATTGCTTGAGGGTGAGTAAATCATGGGGTAATTTTCATTTTTGGGTGAACTGTCCCTTTAACACTTTATTTGAACCTTTTCTTAGGTCGGCAGTGTTCCAGCAGCCGGTGATCTTCCTCGGAGCAGATGTCACTCACCCGCCGGCTGGTGATGGGAAGAAGCCGTCTATTACTGCTGTGAGCATGTCACAAACACACACACACAAGCAGCATTTTAACACTTTCAGCTGTTGTTATAAAGTCTCTTGTGCATTTTGAATGAGATTTTAAATCCAAGTTGGGCTGAGAAGCTGTTTGCCCTAAAATCAACTGGCTTCACGTCAATAAACGAGGGCTGTCAAGCAATTAAAATGTTTTATCTAATTAATTACACAATGCTGCAATTAATTAATAAAATGAATTGTATATTAATCGCACATCAAATTTCATGAGAAATCACCCCCAAAAGATCATTTAAAGCCATTATTGTGTTACATGAGAAAAGCATGAAATAGACATTACAAAAAACGCTTTACAAAGTATTTGTTTTTGTTTATTTAATTTCCTATTTTCTTTTTTCATTTTTGGGTGAACTATCCCTTTAATTCGTTTTTTATTAATATGGAATTTGTATTTTTATTTTCAGCTTTTTTATTAATATGTAAATATGAAATTATTTTTTAATGAAATAACACTCTAAATAAGAAACTAAAACTGCCAGTAGGTGGCGGTAATTGTTTCAGTGAATAATTCATTGATTCATTGATTCGATTCAGTGCTCCCTCATCACATGTACCTTTCCCGCGCTCGTTTGACTCGCGCCTGGCGCTGAGGTGAAGTTGGAGTG